GAGGGGGTCTTGTTCTCCTGCTGCCCGTGGGGATGCTAAACACGTTCATTCCCACACGGTCCATGGGGTATTTAGCATTAGCGGTAAGCATGTGCTTACCATGCCCCAGACGGACTCCCGGGGCCACCCATACTTTCTTCACAAAAAGGGACGCTGATACAATGCGCAGTTTAAAGTCTTCAGCCGCACTGCCCATTAAACAGAAAGCGTCTTTACTGCGCGTCAGTTTAATTTTCACATCCACTCCGTTTAACAAAAGTTTTTTCTTGAAAAACCAGGTCGCTGTGTAAATGGCCCAGCAGCTCTACCATTCTGCTCTCGGCCGTCAGCTTTGCACACCTCACAAATCCTAGATTCCCTCCATCCAACTTTGTTTCTTCATGTTGTCCACCAGTGTCTTTGTAAAACAGGCCGGCGGAAAATTGCGTGGCGAGGGTGTCATCGCTGTAATTGAGCACCGATTCTATAAAGGCCCTGTAAGAGTAACAGTTGTTGCTTTGGCTTATGAGGCAGTCTCCCAGCGTGACATCCAACTGACTGAAAATAGAGGCCACGGGGTAATTCACCAGGCCCACTTCGGCGTCCACGGTGAGTTCAGTTCCTTCTCCTTTTACAATCTTGTAACACAGGTACAGTAGCGTGTTGTTTAAATCCATATAATCTGTGCCATTCCCTGCTATAAAAAAGTCAATGGGGGCAGACTCCGTAATGGCCGATAGAGGTGGCACCTCGATGTAGATGCTTTTCTCGATGCTGGTCTGCGTAGGGGCTATTTGAAACCAGTCTAGTTCGGATTTGGTGCACTCTTCAGACCCGCAGTGAACAAAAGCCATGTTGATTAAAATATGTCTCTTTTACCAGGCAGAGCGCGTCTCCTCTTTCGCCCAGGCTTCCTCTTGGACTTTCGCTTATGGCTGGCCCTGCGTGTCAAAGTCCTTCTTTTAAAGGGTTTCGGGGGACCTGTGCGTCGCGGGTATGACGTATTTCTCTTTCTCTTCCTCCTTTTAATGTACATCAGCCTCGATCCTTCCTGTGAAGCTGTATTCCCCACCTTCTCCAGAACAGCACGGGAGACATGACCTACCACATCTTTAGCTATGTTCTGAGTGGCAGTTTTTACGTGGGGTTTAATAATCTCTAGCCCCCTCCTCAAAAGCGGTATGGCTTTTCGAAAGAGGCTACGAAATATTCCACCCACACCCGCCCCATACATCATGGGGAGCCCATGATATCCAGGAAGGGCATATCCAGCCTGGGCTTTGTAATAGTTCCTGTAGATGGTGGGGTCGCCATCATTTTTTGGGATCGCCCTAATAGGGTTTTGCTTTTTTAGAAACCTCGCTCTCTCCGCGGCTGCAGATGCAGCTTGATGATCACCTTGCCGAAGTGAAATGAGACATGTCTGTTCTGATCTGTCTTTATTTCAATGGTGATGGTGTCGATGTGGTGTTTACTGACAGGGACGTAATGAAGTTTATCGTAGGTGATGGTAACAAACTCGTTGTTCCTTCCTCGGACAGGGACGCAGCATAACAGGGGAACAGAAAAGTCCCCCACAAACTGGTGTTCTACGATATCCATGTATAGATACAAGGAGTTAAAACCTCCTGTGATGTCTGCCGAGAAGGGGAATTTTTGGACGTTGCGTTTGGGGCCCAAACGCAGAATGTTAGCTAGCTCCCCGCCATTAGAAAACACATACATAAAATCGGTAGATTTAAGTCTCACTTTTCTACCCACAGGGTCGTAGTTCATGACCACCTCAGGCGGTCCGGGATGACGAGCCACGTTGCTGTTCATATGCTCCAGTAATTCGGGTATGGTCGAGTAATAACCTCGTTGTAGGATGAAATTCCATGTTATAGCTCCAAAGGTGATTTTGAAAGGGGTGCCTTCGTTGATAGTATTCCAGCTGTGCGGGTATTGTATTTCCACTAACCCCACCTCCCAGGCACCCGGGAGATCCAAGGGCTTAATTAGCTGTATTGTAAAGTTCGAGATGGTGTTTTGGGGAAAAACTGCAGAGCTGGCATTGCTGGGCAAAGTAATGTAAAACCCGCCGTCGCTCATTTTTCTCTCTCTGTCCTTGCAGAAGGAATCTTTTTTTGTTCATGTCTAGATGTCACAGAGTTGAGAAGCTTCCACCCAGCTGTTAAACTTATCGGGCCACCCCAACCATTTCACCAGTAGCTGCTTTTTTCTCCCTTTTCCTTTCTCTGCTAGAAGTTTTTCAGTCCTGTAAATCCTGTCTCGTTTGGGGTTTACTTTTTGTAATTCTTCAGGGTAAAAAGATCCAGTAACTGCCTCACCCTCGTAATCTTTTAATCGGTATACAGGTCTCTGGCCCCTGGTTAAGGCTTCATCTACTATGAATATCTCATCGGTAAACGTCTGTTCATAACCTTTTTCAAAAGCGCCTTTGGTTTTAGATAGTCTCACGTGGTCACCTTTTCTAAAAGGGGCAACAACCGGTTTTATTTTAAAACCATCTCCGTAAACCATTTTCCATACCTTCAGAGAATTTGAAGGTTTAACATCAACGGGTCTGGTATGCATAGTTCTGTGAAAGCTCTGGTTGTAACTCTTTATAAAGTCAGGTAAGACGTCAATGTAGCGAAAGGTGTTATGGGCTGTAAAATATCTCCACATCCTAGTTTTTAAAGTTCTGTTAAATCGCTCCACAACCCCTGCTTTGACTTCATTATTGGTAACAAAATGGTGAACTCCATGCCGCTTTAACAATCCACTTAAAGGTTTGTTTAAAAATTCTTTCCCCTGATCGGTTTGTAATTTTTGAGGCACACAACCTTCACTGAAAATAGCTTTAAAGGCCTTGGATATCTTACCACTCGTCTTGTCGTTTAGGCCTAAGGCCCAGGCATATTTGGATAGACATTCTATCACTGTTAAGATGTACTTAAATCCGCTGTTGTGTTTGGAGAACCGGTGCATATCCACCAAATCTGCCTGCCACTGCGCATCCACATCTGAAACAATGGTCTTGTTTCTTTTAAAACGTATTTGAGCCAGTTTGTGTAAAGTGTAAGCATCCTGGTCTGAAAGCCATGCTGTTACCTGTCTTCTGTTTAAAGTTTTACTATGCTCTCTGGCCACTTGAAAAAGAGGGTTGACCCCGCCGAAGCTCCCAACTTCCTCGGGGCGTAATATATTTTCTTTAACAGAGCCGTCTGTGGAGACATGACTGTTACAGGCACCGTCTTTTACTACCACGAGTATGAAAGGGGACACATTCATATTGACACATTTAAATAAGTTTTATTAATCGCCTGGTTTAACACGACCTTTTACAGCCGTCTGTAAAAATGGATGCCATGACCCCTACCATAAGGGAGTCTCAGATGGTTCATTCTTCCATTTTGTCCTTTTCGGCTTGAGATCTGTGTCTCAGACATGAGCAAAAACAGCTGACGCATGATATATTTATTCCCACAGGGCTTCCGATGTGTAAGTTCTTAAAGACCTCTAAAAAGGCATCGTAGACCTGTTGAGAGATTTTCAGAAAAGAAACCATGTAAGCACCCCCACTGCTTGTTTTTTAATTTACGCAACCCCTGGTTCCTACCCCATTACCCACCCCTCCTTGACCGCCGCTTCTTAATCATTCATTTTACCTGAGCGCCGTCTTTTCCATTTGCTTTGTCCACCGGTGCCTTCCCCGAGCCGCGATCGCTTTCCACCTCCTGAGGGGGTGGACAAAGAGAGGCCATCACGCTCATCAGGGTGCCTCACGAGGGTTTCGGGGTCGGGTTCCGGCGTATCCATCAACGGCTGGGTCAAAGGGTCCTCCTCGGAACTGTCGCTGATGTAGCGCTTTCTCCACACAAGTCCAAAGGTGCTTGGGGGCTAAAACAAAGTCTGAAGTTCTCACAGAGGTGGTGAAGGAGTCCACGTTTCTCTCAGCAGCCTTTCCGCGATTTCGAAAACACGTGTCCTTGGTAAGAGGACAGTCCTCTGTCTGGCGCTGGGACTTATGGGGTAATGGTGCTGCACTCTGATTGGCGGAGGACCTTGGGAGGAGTTCTTAGAGGGGTCACACGACCCACTTCTGGACGGGTCACCCCCCGCCCCAGAAGTCACCCTGATTGGTCAAAATCTCCTCTCGGGGCGATCCTTTTGGGACAAAACCCCTCCTGATTGATAGAGGGTAGTGGGGGGAGTTCTTAGAGGGGCCACATGACTCACTTCCGGACCGGTCACCCCCGCCCCGGAAGTCACCCTGATTGGTCAAAATCTCCTCTCGGGGCGGTCCTATCAGGACGAAACTCCTCCTGATTGGTAGAGGGTGGTGGGAGGAGTTCTTAGAGGGGGGGGTCACATGACGCACCTTGCTTCCAGTCAGGTGGCACCTTGACCCCGAAGTAATACCCCCATGGGTGGGACTTCTGGTGACAGGCAGGAGGGACCAAGGGGTCAAGGGGTGGGGCTTAATGGGTCAAGGGGCGGGGTTGGAGTTTGATTGACAGTAGGGCCCTTATACTACTTTGGATCATTGGCTTCCCCAGCCCAGGCTGGGTACTGACGAGGAGCGTGCTATGATCCATGGCCTCCCAGGGAGCTGTGATTAGTAACGGAGATGGGAAGTTACTAGCAGACCCTGAGTCCAGGGAAAAGTGATGAGGCGTGAGGGGTAACTGCAACCGGTTCTACGGAGGCTTTTCCAGTCCCATCCTGAGGCAAAGACCTGAATGAGATGTGCACAGCCCTTGATATAGTGGTAACTTTATTCTACTAAGTATCACTTTTGTGGAAACTACTGTGAATTACATCAAAAACATGATAGCATCTACTGGAAAACAAAAAGCAAAATACTCTAGAGGTAGATATTCATCATTCTTTCAATATCTGTCCATACATAACCAATAATGTTCATAGAAATATGAACTGCACTTTAGTAATAAATAATATTAAAATAAATATTAGAGTCTGTGCATGCTTTTGTACTGTTGCTTTTTTAAACTAGCACTAAGTTTTAAACTTACCTTATTGGTATGTATAGCTGTGATGACCCAAACACATTGAGCATTACTGTCATATTGGAATGGAAAATTGGGTGATGTGAAGGTGCCACTGGGTCCCTGAAGATTAGATCCACAAGTCTTTACTGCAAAAATAAAATGTTTAACTTATAATTCATGCATGAAACATGTACAGCAAATGCATAAAACATTCTCTCTCAAACATTAAAAATATGCAAAGGATTAAAATACCAGTTAAGAATATACCCATTGCAATATAAGATCATTATATTTGTGTTGCATTATTTAGGGACACAAGTAAAATGCACATACTCTAAGGTTCAAGATATTACCTTTGAAAAGACACAAAACAGAAACTAGCTGTGATTAAAAGAGTATGCACCAAGATTATATAAAGTAACTGTTAAATTTATTTTAAATAAATCAGAATAATGTAAAAAAGATAAATACATTATTTCATTACTCTTAATAAATACCTGTAAAGAGAAGTGTTCATATACCAGACTTAATGACAAAGCGCACTATTATTACTAGAGTGTTTTTGAGGATTAGTTGTCCTTTGTTCATGCTAGCACGTCTATTGCTGTTATCTCTGCTGGAGTTACATTCATGGTTGCAACAATGAAATCTTTCAAAGGGAACTCTGCAGATACTGCCCTTATATGAAGTAAGCTATACCAGTTTTTAAAGAACAGAGCATGTGAACTATTAAATAAATGTATTTTAAAAAAAGTCAGTTGTGACTACTTATAGATAGAGCAGGGTATCTTACATTTTGATGTAGTACTAGTGAAAACAGAGTTCTAGCAAAATATGAAACATTAACAGATTTTTATTCTCTGTTTAGGATGAGATTCTGCCACCCTTATTCATGATGAGTAGCTCTTTACCCCACAAATATTCTCTGAAGTCAATGGGACCATTTGTGCAGAAAGGTGCTATATTACTTAGTAGGTGAAATCCTGGCCCTGTTCAAGTCAATTGAGAGTTTTGTCATTGGCTGCTGTAATGACAGGATTTCACATAGCGTGAATAAGCATACCCTAAACAACATACAAGCCAAGCCTCTCACAGAGGTAGTATATATAGGCTTCGTGTCTGTGTTGTTCCTTTGACATTTTGTATACCTGTGCTGAAAACATTCCTGATCAACCTTTTTCTGGGTTAAGCAATATATTTGACAAGCAACCTCAGCTATATCTGAGCCTTTTGTCATGTTTCTGTGCTGATTCCTATAGCATTGTAGTGAGTAAGCTGCAGAAGCAGAAAAATAATTGCTCATGCTGGAGTCTGGCAGACCATTTCACTTCACTGATTTAAATTTTGACTATGATAGGTGAATCTGTCATACAATTTGCTTACACTTTGACAAAGCATGCTAATTTTGGCAGGGGTAGACAGTAAATCAAAGCTAGCTTGTTCTAAGATGCAGATCTTTTCTTGAGGGTCCTGAGGTTTTCATAAATGGAAACTTAGGTTTACTAAGATACTAAAGAAGTCCACACGCTGTTCATTACCTATTCTTTGTTCCAACCTTAGATAATCCAACTCATGTTTACATTTCCTGCAGTAACTTCCATCTGCATTTCCAGTGGTAACTAACTACAGTATGCATGTCACTCAGCAAATTTGAGAGAGTAAGAGATCAAGTTAGTAGATTCATTGAACACACTCTCCAAGTTTCATTCACACCAATTGTTGTTCTCCTGTGCATATCTACACAAAAAGTATTTACTATATCAAGAAACGTCTTTAAAGCTTAGAAATAATATCTAAAAACCATCAGTATAATTTCTTTGTTCTCTCCACTTTGACTGTGTGACTAGCATGGCTCATTTAGCTATCTTTGAGCAAAGAGTATTTGAAAATGTTTCTGCAAAGGAAAATATTTTGAAAACACTACTACTACAGAAAAGAAAGAGCAGAAGATATTTTATAACAAGCTCAATGTTCTTAACAAGAACGTAATAATTATCATGAAATTATTGTCGTTTCTATAACACCCAGGAATGATTATCTCCAAAGATTCTTTTCCTCAATATCAACAAGAGGTTTGTGGAAAAGTGATGGGTTTGACCTGAGTCTTGGAAGTCATGGTAAATATTGTTAATCTATTAAAGCCTTCAGCATCACCTGTTTCAAATCTGTTGAATTTGCATAAATATTGTGTTATATAATTTTTTGTCAAAGAAACCAAGGGCCTGGGTTAGGTGCATTGTGCTTTAAATGGTTTATAAATCAAAATAACTATATGAAAACATTGCTTGTATTTGTTAATTAACCAATGCCACACACAATTGCACCTCCATATTCTCTTGCAACTTAATAGGTTCCATATATCTCTAAATCTCACACAAATGTCATGCATATCTATATCAAAATACAGTGGCATGGCAAGAAAATTGAAGAACCTGGAGTAGATTATTTAATATATTTTTTCATCTGTAACTTCCATAACTGTATTTATCTAGTAGGCTTCTTTCAAACACCGATGACTCATAAATAATAAAATACACAAAACCATCACAGATTAGAACAACACACAACTCATGGCTGAGGACAGACTAAGGAGAAAAAAGAAGGGATAAATGGGAGTCATAGTTTTTTGAGGATGCAAATATAAAGCAGTAGAGCCATTATTCAATTTCATTTTAAGATGGCTTTATATACAGTACCACATAAAAGGCTACAACATTGTCAGATTCTGAAATCCCACTGAAATCAAATAGGAAAAAAACCCCAGATTTTTAGATTTAGTTAGATTTTTAACTATGATATCCTTGATCTGATGTAGAGCTGTCAGCTGAATCCATATTATTCTCCTCCCTTACCTGCAAAAAACAGAGCATACAAACCACTGAATAAATATCTAAAAGCAAGAACTCAGAGAGCTGTGATTATTTTTAGGGGTAGCGGAACAGTTTCCACTTAGAAGTAGTAGTAGTGAAAACAAAATTCTTGCAAAATATACAAAGTTAGTATATTCCTTTTATTTTTTTAATGATTCATATACAAACCAAGTCTCATTCACACAGAAGGAAAGTAAACACAAAGCAGCAAGTTTGTTTCCTTAATATCTCTAAGATATCCCACATTTCTGGTTTGAAAACTTTTCCTGACAACCCTTCTGATGTCAAGGCATACCTCAAAAGCCATCTCACCTAAGTATTAACTTGTTGTAATGTTTCTGTGCTGATTCCTACAGCACTGCAGGGAATAAGTAAAAAAGAAGAAATTCACCGTTAACAATGGATTCTAGTTATAGATCAGATAATAATCAATGCTCAGTGTTAGGCTCAGTAGTGCAAGTGGTGCCTCGGGGGAGACAGTATCTAACGGGGAGCACGTGACCAGTCCAGGAACCCCACGCTCTCCCCATCCCCTCCTCATGATCCACCCCCCGTACCTGGGGTGGGTAGGAGGGGGCTCTGTCCTCCTCCCGCTGCACCGGAGACTTTGGAACTTCAGCAGCGAAAGGAGCAAAACGTGAGGCTGCTGGGTGGCCCCATGCCCGCAGCTCCTCCGATGCAGCTGTACCATCCCCCAGCCCTTTCACGCAGGGTCTCCTCTGTTTATACAGCAGCCCCGCCGGAGGACAGGGCTGTGGGCGGGGCTGGGGGCATTATCGACACGCTGAAGGATCTGCCAGCATGGGCCCACGGTGACCCCATGTTCTGCTCCTCCTGTGTCTTTCCAGAACGCCATACAGCTATAAATATCTTGCTGGTACAGGGTATTGGACTGTACCGCCCTACTTATACTGCTGGTTAGGCTCCACAGGCGCTGACTTTTGTTTTTGCTGGTGGGTGCTTTTCACCTTCTGGTTTCACTGTACACCATGTACGTGCTTCTGCCATCTACTGGTGGCCCGTGGATGCTGGGCACCCCCTATTATTTTCGGTTGGTGCTTGATCTCCGGATCACGCTCGGAGTCTACGCCTATGTTAGACTTGATCTTATTTCCAGTATACTGGATAATAAACATACAAGAAAGATATGCCAATGCCAAATGACATTATATAGGTATGATTTGCCAGTATCAAAAAAGTGGAAGGCTAGATCTAGACAAAAATTGAGGTAACATGTTGATATCAAGGGGCAGAAGTTGCACATCATTGACGAGGAAAATGGTCCATAAAAGTTCCATATTTAGCTTCAGTTAGGAAAGCAAATAGAGTACAGATATATAGAGTAGGGATATCAATACCTCAGAAGATATCGCTGAGGACATGGTACAAAGGGCTGCACCATTTTTGGAGTCTAGACTAACCTAGACTTTATTTCATGAAGAATATTCAATAATTATATAAGGTACAGAGAGACCAAAAAGGATATTAATGGCTGAGATATTCCTAAATATTAGGAAACATTAGAAAAGGTAGGTTTATATCCATTTAGAAGAGGAGATTATGAGAGGAAATTTTTCCAAGAGGCACCGAAAAAGTGAATGACACAACTATTTAAGAGGGCAATGCACCTGACAAGTAATAGGAGATTAAATGAAGTTAAGAAAGGATCAGATATATTTTTATTTTTAATATACAGACTAATTACTATGTGAAATGGATTCTCAAAAAACAGTAACTGAAGAAACTGCAGCTCTGGGAATATGTTTGTTCAGAGAAATAGGTAAGAGTACACTGGCCCCATTTCACCAAGGAACTTTAAGCATGTGCCTAATGTCAAGCTTGAGACTATGTTCACTGAAGTCAATTAAAGTATTCAAGTGCTGAAAATTAGGCATGCTCATAAGTACTTCAGTGAATCATTGCCATTATAGGGTTTAGAAGTTAGACACATGATCTGCAGAGCCTCCTTCCATCACAAAACATTAACGTAGTATATCATGTCTTAAAAAAAGATCCATGAAGAGAAACTTACAAACAAGAGTAGAGTGTCATGGCAAAGTAATGACTGGCTGGCACCCAAAGGGAGACCCGCTCTTCTGAAATATCACAAAAAAAGGGACAGAAGTGCAAGCTATTCAGAGATTGTTAGGATAAGAGTCTAAAAGAATTAATAAATAATGATCTATGTTGAACTGGCTGGAGAGTCATGATCTCTACTCCCAGTCAGTGACAAACATTCCAAACACTAAACTGCTATGTTATTTTTTTCATTAATA